CCCACCATAGTCAATAAAATAAAGAAATAATTTGAAACTCTGGACTAGATCCGTGCCAAGACCCTCACTGTGACTAGAGATATTACATAGCAGACTTGTATCATATAAAGATGATATTCTTTAAATCGATTTGTAACCTAACAACAAACGATGTCACTGTCGATCAGTAATGGCCATAGTTTTAAACATGGCTGCTGTGGAGTCGAAACCATTGAATATTTTGTTCCCATCATTGGTGGGAACAAGTATGTAAAGTTTCAGCTTCATTGGTCCAGGTGGCGACGGATGTCCAATATGCAGGAATGATGCGTCGGGGGGGGGGGGACCATGATTTGAACAATAATTATTCACACGTGGGTGGGGTTCTTTTAATCGAAATTTTCTATACAATGACCGATTATAAGTGGTAATATACTGTTACTTTTTTGTGGTAACGTTTCTTATAAATTGGGAAATAAGCTAAAAGTATATGGTTTCAACTTTCCAAAGGGCACTTTCAGGGTTTTTATAGGTCATTCTTCTATATTATAAAAAAATCTGAATTATGTCTTCAGGAACCGATGTGGTTATTAAAATCGATAACTGTGTGGGAACTTTGTAGATACACATAAACAAAAATATACTAGAATTTATTGTCCTGAGCCAAAGCAGATGCTCACCACGGACATGACAGATACTGAGTTTTGCAATGACTAAGGTTAAGAATTGCGGAGTTATGAACCTTCATCACTGAAGAACAAAACATGTCGAATACTAGTGTCATGAAGATCTCTCCACCCCAGTATTTCAGACAGTGAGTGTCTTTCGAACATTTAACACAATCGTACAGAACGTTGATGACGAATAAAAGTAAGAAAAAGTGTGAAAATACTAAAACAACGAAAACAAAGTGCGCGAAATCTCCGACACCTGCCATTGAAAATGTAAACAAAGACGTAGAAGTGAGTGATGTGTGTAGAGTCATATCAGAGAGTCTGAATTTGTTACAAAATATTGACCTACCGCAACCACAGCCAGTGCAATCGGTCCCCAGCCATGACGGGATGTGGACCCCACCCCAACACTACCTACCCTACATGTCGACACATAGTCAAGTGGCCCCCCAAGGGTTTGGTCATCTAACACCCCAGGCAAATCAACTGCTTGAGTTGATAAGTAAAATGAACTTGGTTCTCTCTAAACTTGACAAACTAGATCTGGTGGAAAGTGCAGTGCATGACATTAACACTAAAATTTCACAAATGGGACAGAAAATAGAGAATACTGATAACAAGCTTCAACGTCTCCAAGAACGTGTAGATTTTATGAGCGCACAGTATGATGAGGTAAAAGAACAACAGCAGACAAAAGACCTGACAAAAGCAATAGAAAAGAAACAAGCATTAGAAACAGCGGATCTTAAAGAGGAAATAGGAAACTCCATAGAGATGTGTTGCAAAAGAAGATAGATAACCTGCAACAACATGACACTAAATCTTTCTGGAAATTGTTAAAACGTGGAACAAGAAATGATAAATCACCACCTATTGATGAGCTTTTTGAATATTTTAGGGCACAGAATGAAAATAGTGAGATTGAAACAGATACGAACATTGACTTTAATACAGACTCACATGATATATATATATATATATACCTGCTGTGCGATCTGGGGCACGTGGTGTTATAAATGATGTACGATATGGAGAACGTGTTATACCTGCTGTACAATATGGAGAACGTGTTATAACTGATGTACGATCTGGAGAACGTGTTATACGTGCTGTTCGATATGGAGAACGTGTTATACCTGCTGTTCAATATGGAGAACGTGTTATAACTGATGTACGATCTGGAGAACGTGTTATACGTGCTGTACGATATGGAGAACGTGTTATACCTGCTGTACAATATGGAGAACGTGTTATAACTGATGTACGATCTGGAGAACGTGTTATACCTGCTGTACGATATGGAGAACGTGTTATACGTGCTGTGCGATATGGAGAACGTGTTATACCTGCTGTACGATATGGAGAACGTATTAAACCTGCTGTACGATATGAAGAACGTGTTCTACCTGCTATACAATATTGAGAACGTGTTATAACTGATGTGCGATCTGGAGGACGTGTTATGCGTGCTGTACGATATGGAGAACGTGTTATACCTGCTGTGCGATATGGAGAACGTGTAATACCTGCTGTACGATATGGAGAACGTGTTATACCTGCTGTACGATATGGAGAACGTGTTATACGTGCTGTACGATATGGAGAACGTGTTATACCTGCTGTACGATCTGGAGAACGTGTTATACGTGCTGTACGATATGGAGAACGTGTTATACCTACTGTACGATATGGAGAACCTGTTATACGTGCTGTACGATATGGAGAACGTGTTATACCTGCTGTACGATATGGAGAACGTGTTATAACTGATGTACGATATGGAGAACGTGTTATACCTGCTGTACGATCTGGAGAACGTGTTATACGTGGTGTACGATATGGAGAACGTGTTATACCTGCTGTGCGATCTGGGGCACATGGTGTTATAACTGATGTACGATCCGGGGCACATGTTGTTGAGAACACGTTGTTACAACTGTTGGACGATCTGGGAACATGTTATTATAACAGCGGAACGTGCAATATGACACACACTCAGCCAGTGACGTCAAGGTACAATATCACACACAATCAGACAGTGACGTCAACATGACGCACAGTCAACCAGTGACGTCGTCAAGGCACAGTATGACACACAATCAGCCAGTGACGTCAACATGACACACAATGTGCCAGTGACGCCAAGGCACAACATGTCAGATAATCAGCCAGGTGATACATTGTAATTAGCCAATTCCCAATTCAGACAGCTCTTACTTCAAGTCAACGTCGCTATATAAGTGCAATAATCTTGGACGCGACGTTAAACCCAATTTCACCTCACCTTACTTCAAGTCATGGGTCGGACCCGGAATCCCTGGAGTTACAGGAATTACTGAAACTTTCAAACTATTGACAAAATGAACATGGGCTGTATTTAATAACAAACACATTCATAGAGCAGGGGCAACATTTGGAAGGTCCGTGGATCGAAAAGGCGAAAACATTATTGCTGTATCTGTGGACAGGTGAACGCCGGTATTGTTTGATGGCTTTGTCAGTAATGCTGGTCCCCGTCACTCCACGCCAGCTTACACTGAGCGGACACTGCATGGTGCAATGCCATCTCATGAAGAAAATTAAAACAAGCGTATTCAATGTTAGAGATTCGATAAACGGAGAGCCTCACGAAGCGATAACCAGCATTAGAGACATTTGGTGCATGTTTATCTTAACCTTTTTGTTATTCGATTTTAACAAGCACAAATGTGTGAAATGACTTCAAACACTTTAACGTCACCTTCACTTGACACATATCATTTAACGCACATGTCCCTGTCTCTCCAGAACACAGTTGCCTCCCCTGTTGGAATTTTGCTATCGACCACACATACCTGTGTAAAAAAGACAAGATGTCGATTTTCACGAATTACGTATGAATGATACCGTATGTTATCAATCTCAAATCAAACGGTATTAGCACCACGCGAAGTGGCCCTACCTTTGCCCCCCCCCCTTCTTAGCAGGGCCCCTCCCCAGGCCCAATGATGGCCCGTCACGAGCGCCACTTCGCCTCTCATCCTGCCTGCCTGCTGTGTAGGTCGTCTTGTCTAACCACTGTCTATGTGTTTAAATATCACTGTTTACAATAGAAGTACCACGGTCATGCATCAGTCAGATCCCACCACGATAGATAATCGAGACTAGATTGTGTGAGATTAATTCAGGCCGATTATTTTGATCTCAACACACCACATACAACCGCGCCCTGTTGAAGAGTTCAAATTACAAAATTGCCGTGTCAAGGTATTCTTGACATGTACTCCAAACTAGGTCATTTCTTATACGGGCAATGTGAGGTGAAAACGACCCCTGTTTGTATTTTAACACACCATGGTGGATACATTTGCGTCATACCTTGATTTGTTACTCTCCTATGTACCAATGGATGGATTACTGAGAGGCTTAACGTTCACATCAGGTTCCTGGTGAGGCAGTTTGACAGAGAAGGAAGGATACTAGACAGTGAACATCAGAGTAAAGAGGTAAGTTATTCATAATTTCAAAATTTGTAAAGAGTTGCAAAAAACTGTGGTGATGTAATACCATAATAAACTTCTTTTTCTATACAAGTTGCCTTGCCAATATTTCTGGCTTCGCCAAAACGGACATTGCAGATTCATAGGTATATTTCCTTGGCAAAGTTCAGTGGGTTTAACATCACAGTTCTTCATCTATCCATGTCTTGTATGCTTCTGTCTTGTCGCAAGCATTGTTAATCTAATTCTAATTCAGGTTAAAATTCGGTACAAAGTTAATTCAAATCCATATGTAATTCATCAATAATGTATGTTCACTAAATGTACACAAATTACATATGTTAAGTAAGGATAAGAATTTATGGATGAACAACTTCTTGATTACAATTAAGAGCGACGTTTCGGTGTAGGCTGTAACAGCGTTATCAAGCAAGTGATCACTTATCCTTACTTATATATTAGTACTCCAACTTCTAAATGCCAATCAAAGAAGTTATCACATATGTTCTTTATTCGTGCATTAAAATGAAATATTAATGTCCCAACTGTGTTTATCGATGAGGAACAGGCTGCCAGTTAGCCCTATCCGAGGATATTTAATTTACGGCCCGCTTCCTGCAGAGTTGATCAAAAACACATCTCCATTAAAACACAACGTTAGTCTTAAATTCGGCATCTTAGACAGCTTCGAATGCTTGGTCCACCACCATGTGTAATGTAATCAAGTACAGTGTTGATCTGAACAATTTAAACGTTGAAACACAGACGCAAGCGTATTATTTTGTGCTTAAGTATGAGAGTTCAGGGCAAAAAGGGGTAGAAAAAGTTATTATGTAACAATACATTTATTTGAGTTCGGATTCCGGGAATTCCCAGGGCACCTGCTTCCGCACACCACCTAGTTAAATATCCATATTAGGCATTGTCGATCACTGCTGTTTCTGAGAACCACGTCAGTGTACAAGCATTATTTCGTCATATTGCCCAGAGAGCAGTGACGGGAGGTTGTGAAAAGCGCCCGTCTTGTGTGTGAGATCAAGATACGACCTGGTTACATCATGCAGCCCCGGAGTCTCATCGTCTTCGTTGCAGGTAACATTTTATATTTCTATTTCAATTTTCCGTAGCATAACGTCAACTGACGAACATACAGCAGAACCTTTCTCCCGAAGCGCGCATTTGGCATATTAATTATCGCTAACCAAAGCTTCACACATCTGACATATGAATAATTAGGTACAGAGTATCGGTAAGACTCGCTGATGCATTGTTTATTTCTAATACAGGGTATTTACACTTGCAAACGACCCGTGAAGATCCGGGTTAGAATTCAGCAACCCATTCGTGCTTTGAACAACAAACAAACCATTGCAAACTCGCGTGATAACCTCTTTTGACGGCCCCATAATCCTGCAAAATAAACACGATATTTAGTTTTTGTTTTTATCTAACATCCACGTATCTGATACACAGCAGTGTTTCCATATGATATAATGTTGGTGAAGAGCTGTTTCCAGGTGTAAGTCACGCGATATATCGCACTGTGAACAGACAGGTGGTTAGGCAGAAGAGGTCTGTCGTGCCCCAGGCAGACTTTTGTATACGCTAGAGAAAGGGGGCCATAGACTACATACCCCGACCCGGTACACTATCAGACGGGACACTTAAGGCAATCCCCCGTTGTCGTCATCGATCGATTCTGTAGCCGTATTTCGTAGAAAAGAAACACAGCATCGAGACGTCATTTTGGACTGCATTTCCACATCATGACACAATCGAAGATCAGCAAAATTATTTTCAGCAATCGTCAATAAGCAGTGTGATTTTTGGTTCAGTCTGATCGGATAATTGACGGCAATTGTTCAGTTGGTTACATTCGCACATATATATTCTCAACAGCAAAAGTTCCTGTGACACCAATATTTAAGTGTAATTTTCAAGTAAAGTTTGGTTTTCAATATTGTTGTACATGTGTGGAATCAAGTCACCAAAACGCAACTGCTACAGAAAAGCATGCATTCCATGCAAAAGTTGACATTTATGCAAGCCCCTTGCATTTCACTACCCAAGAATGGGTATAAAAACATGTGCGTTAATGGGATTTCATATGCATTGTTTAGCATCGTGTTACAACAACAATCGTGTAGTTATTGACAGAACCCTGGTATCCATGAAATGGGTAATGGGTAATGCGTGCGCCTCCAAGGTGGCGGCACTTCCGGTTGCGGGAGGCGTGGGGGGCATCTCCCCATCCAAGATGGCGGCGGCGGGAGGGAGGGAGGAGGGAGGAGGAGGAGGGTTCTTTGTTTTGGTGTGATGGATGTGGAGGGTAGTCAAAGCAAGGATGGAAGCGATCTTTCGGGAGAGATGGGTGGCCCTGAAAAGGGCCGTTTGGAGGAAGATGATGAAAACACGGGAACCGGAAAACGGGTAACGGAATCAGGAACTGGAAGCGTCATCCTAGCTACTTTGGCTGTTGGACTTAGTGGTAGCTGCATGGTGGCCAACGACCAAAGTAGCTACAGTTGTAGCATGGCGTTTTGTGGTGTTCTGGCTTTGGCTTGAACTCTTCGGCACGAGTCAATTATTCTATCCACTCTGATGGTGCACAAGTCAACCATTTGACCCACTCCTCCAATGGTGACATCGTCCCTGATTCCACTATATGTATCTTAACACCTTAAGATGGATCGTCCCGAGGTCCCGAGCATGAATGAAGCGGATCGTGCCTTGCCTGAAAAAGGAGTGGCCCTGCATTGGCTTGTCATCCATGATTTGCTGGGCAACAAGTGCTGCGATGGTTCACCAAGAAAAGTCATCACCGAAACACATCCGTGCTGTATCTCATGAAGCCTATGAAGACGCCACCCAAGAACCATGCACTCACCTGTTCTTTTACTTGAGTCGTGGCCAATGCAGAAGGCCCAGATCGCTGAAGACATGGCCCATGCGGGATTCGTGTACACGCAAAGCACCGACAGCGTGTTCTGCTTTCCCCCTCTTACACCTGGAGTCATCCTTTTCATCCTGGCTTTGATTCATTTCAAGAACGTCTGAGGTCTTTTCAAACGTGGCCTAAACAGATGACCCAGACCCCTTATGACAGGGCCATGGCTGGCTATTTCTATCCAGGACGAGGTGATCGTGTTATCTGTTATTGCTGGGGTGTGACACTCTGCCAATGGGAAGCCACAGACAAACGCTGGAAAGAACATCTGAAGCACGAATAATTAGGTACAGAGTATCGGTAAGACTCGCTGATGCATTGTTTATTTCTAATACAGGGTATTTACACTTGCAAACGACCCGTGAAGATCCGGGTTAGAATTCAGCAACCCATTCGTGCTTTGAACAACAAACAAACCATTGCAAACTCGCGTGATAACCTCTTTTGACGGCCCCATAATCCTGCAAAATAAACAAGATATTTAGTTTTTGTTTTTATCTAACATCCACGTATCTGATACACAGCAGTGTTTCCATATGATATAATGTTGGTGAAGAGCTGTTTCCAGGTGTAAGTCACGCGATATATCGCACTGTGAACAGACAGGTGGTTAGGCAGAAGAGGTCTGTCGTGCCCCAGGCAGACTTTTGTATACGCTAGAGAAAGGGGGCCATAGACTACATACCCCGACCCGGTACACTATCAGACGGGACACTTAAGGCAATCCCCCGTTGTCGTCATCGATCGATTCTGTAGCCGTATTTCGTAGAAAAGAAACACAGCATCGAGACGTCATTTTGGACTGCATTTCCACATCATGACACAATCGAAGATCAGCAAAATTATTTTCAGCAATCGTCAATAAGCAGTGTGATTTTTGGTTCAGTCTGATCGGATAATTGACGGCAATTGTTCAGTTGGTTACATTCGCACATATATATTCTCAACAGCAAAAGTTCCTGTGACACCAATATTTAAGTGTAATTTTCAAGTAAAGTTTGGTTTTCAATATTGTTGTACATGTGTGGAATCAAGTCACCAAAACGCAACTGCTACAGAAAAGCATGCATTCCATGCAAAAGTTGACATTTATGCAAGCCCCTTGCATTTCACTACCCAAGAATGGGTATAAAAACATGTGCGTTAATGGGATTTCATATGCATTGTTTAGCATCGTGTTACAACAACAATCGTGTAGTTATTGACAGAACCCTGGTATCCATGAAATGGGTAATGGGTAATGCGTGCGCCTCCAAGGTGGCGGCACTTCCGGTTGCGGGAGGCGTGGGGGGCATCTCCCCATCCAAGATGGCGGCGGCGGGAGGGAGGGAGGAGGGAGGAGGAGGAGGGTTCTTTGTTTTGGTGTGATGGATGTGGAGGGTAGTCAAAGCAAGGATGGAAGCGATCTTTCGGGAGAGATGGGTGGCCCTGAAAAGGGCCGTTTGGAGGAAGATGATGAAAACACGGGAACCGGAAAACGGGTAACGGAATCAGGAACTGGAAGCGTCATCCTAGCTACTTTGGCTGTTGGACTTAGTGGTAGCTGCATGGTGGCCAACGACCAAAGTAGCTACAGTTGTAGCATGGCGTTTTGTGGTGTTCTGGCTTTGGCTTGAACTCTTCGGCACGAGTCAATTATTCTATCCACTCTGATGGTGCACAAGTCAACCATTTGACCCACTCCTCCAATGGTGACATCGTCCCTGATTCCACTATATGTATCTTAACACCTTAAGATGGATCGTCCCGAGGTCCCGAGCATGAATGAAGCGGATCGTGCCTTGCCTGAAAAAGGAGTGGCCCTGCATTGGCTTGTCATCCATGATTTGCTGGGCAACAAGTGCTGCGATGGTTCACCAAGAAAAGTCATCACCGAAACACATCCGTGCTGTATCTCATGAAGCCTATGAAGACGCCACCCAAGAACCATGCACTCACCTGTTCTTTTACTTGAGTCGTGGCAAATGCAGAAGGCCCAGATCGCTGAAGACATGGCCCATGCGGGATTCGTGTACACGCAAAGCACCGACAGCGTGTTCTGCTTTCCCCCTCTAACACCTGGAGTCATCCTTTTCATCCTGGCTTTGATTCATTTCAAGAACGTCTGAGGTCTTTTCAAACGTGGCCTAAACAGATGACCCAGACCCCTTATGACAGGGCCATGGCTGGCTATTTCTATCCAGGACGAGGTGATCGTGTTATCTGTTATTGCTGGGGTGTGACACTCTGCCAATGGGAAGCCACAGACAAACGCTGGAAAGAACATCTGAAGCACGCCAAAGTCCCCTGAGAATACTTGTGTGTGTTTTGTCCATATGGAGAAGTGAACGAAAAATACAGACGTCTGTTGTCCGAAGAAGCATAGAAGAGAAGAGCAGAGTGTCTTGTTCACTCCTAGTGACAAAGTTACCTGTTCACCAAAATCACAGGGACGCCCCCTCATCCTGTGGTTTTTGTTTTATTGGTTCATGTGAGTGGGGATTAAAAAAAAATTGAACAAAAAAATAGGTGTTGTGTTGTTATTAGGATGGGGATCGGCGGGCACACCCGAGGGAAAAAACAGGATCGACATGCACACCCTAGAAAAAACAGGATCAAAATCTAACCAATCAGAAGCTTGGGTTGTCGACCTATCAGAGGTCTCCCATGGTAAAATCCATTTCCATGGAAAACAAACACAAGGGTCGGGCCGGTTTTGAAAACCAGGGCTCGGGCCGGGCGGCAGAATGGACCAATCAGCGCGCTGCGTGTTTCACCAATCAGCATGCAGCAATGTTCGATCCGGTCCTTCTCCTATAAAGAGTGAAGCCACTCGAGTGGAGTCAGCGTCACTTGTGAAATAAAAAATCGCGTCGAGAATGGCAGAGAGGAAGGGCAGTACGAATACGAGTGAGGGATCCATGGTGACTGAGCTGACGGATGCTTATGGATCCAAGATTCATCTGTGGAGTACGAATGGCTGTGATGATAGGTCGTCGCCGACACCACCGCCGTCGCCGTCCAGCAACCCGACGTCGCCATGTCATCAATCTTTTGAAAGCATGCAGGGTCACTTCGTTTGAGTCGTGGTCAATGCAGATGGCCCAGACCGCTGAAGACATGGCCCATGCGGGCTTCGTGTACACGCAAAGCACCGACAGCGTGTTCTGCTTTCATTGCGGCGTGCGAGTGAGAGCATGGGAGAATCAGATCTACCAGGAGCCTGCGAATGAGAGCAACGTGTAGCATGGCCGCGTTCCTAGGAGGACTTTTCCGCTTACCGTTCCTGTTCAAGTTCCTGTTTCCCGTTTCCCGTTTACACATATATATATATAAACGTCTGTTGAAGACATGCGTGACACCACGTTTGCATGGAGACACGAATGGCAGCACGCATGTAGGCATACACGAGTGCCAACACCTAGGCGTGGATGAGCGAGTGACAACGTTACGTATGTCTATCGATCTATACCTCTATAAACGTCTGTTTGTAGTCACGTGTGGCACCACGTTTGCATCGAGACACGAGTAAAAAAAATGCCACGCAGGCATACCCGAGTGCCAACACCTGCATGGAAACACAAAAATACAACACGTAGGCATTCCTACATCACGTCCACGTCTGGCCATGTTGGTCCACCTTTAGAATTCAGATCACCGTTCCACGACATGATCGTGGTGGCGGTGGACATGTCTACCCAAAAGAACAGGGTCGAAATCTGGCCCATCAGACGTTTGGGTTGTCGACAAATCAGAGGGCGCGCTCGCCCTGTTCGGGTCTCTGATTGGTCGAACCGGGGGTTGGGCTTTCTCTCCCATGATAAAATCCATTTCCTATGGAAAAGAAACACAAGGGTCCGGTCGATTTGGAAAACCGAGGCTCAGGCCGGGCGCCAATCAGCGCGCTGCGTGTCGCACCAATCAGCGTGCAGCGATGTTCGATCCGGTCCCTCTCCTTTAAAAAAGGATCCTTGTAATACCCTCTACGCTTGTTTTTTTAATACAATCAAATAAGTGCATAAATTAAATCAACATGCTTAATGGACAAGAAGTAGCCCCCAAACGTCGTTACAGACAATGAAGATAGATGCCTCTCAAAGACTCAAATAACAGCAGAAAAGATGGACAGCTGATTTTTGCTTTTATTTGCAACAGGGGGGTCCAACAGTTTCTAAATTTGATAACATGAAGTGCAAATGGCCCCATCAACATTCCTCATGTATACTCCATATCTTCGGTTTAATATCAAAACAGAGGTTACAACTAGGGTCTATAGTGCAAGCACCCCACGAGCACGGTTACTGACAAACTAAGAATGATTATCAGGAAGCAGCTGCAGGTGCGTCATAACGATTCTCATTCTCATCCTGCCGTTGTTTCAGTGTTAGCGCTACCCGCCATCAGAAGCCAGGGCATCTCAGAATGTCCAAACCTTACACAGGACATCCTCGGGTGTTCAACGCAGTTCCTGAAAGAAACATCCATCAAAGGATTCTTCACAGATTTCACTAAAGTTTTTAATTTTACATCTCTTCTGTCAAGTTCGTCATCGATCTTGTGTCAGGCATCGTACGTGTGTTTTTCATTTATTTTTATTTATGTAACAGTAGCCGTTCTCAATGTGTAGAGAATCACTGTGTACAATAGCCGGTTTCACTGTGTATAGTAGCTGGTCTCATTGTGATCAGTAGCAGGTCTCACTGGGTATAAAAGCCTGTCTCACTGTGTACAGTAGGTGGTATCACTGTGTACAGTACATGGTATCACTGTGTACAGTAGGTGGTATCACTGTGTACAGTAGCTGGTATCACTGTGTACAATAGCTGGTATCACTGTGTACAGTAGCTGGTATCACTTTGTACAGAACCTGGTATCACTGTGTACAATAACTGGTCTCACTGTGTACAATAGCTGGTATCAATGTGTACAATACCTGGTATCACTGTGTACAATTGACGGTATCACTGTGTACAGTACCTGGTATCACTGTGTAGAGTAGCTGGTATCACTGTGTACAGTAGCTGGTATCACTGTGTACAATACCTGGTATCACTGTGTAGAGTAGCAGGTATCACTGTGTACAATTGCTGGTATCAAGGTGTACAGTTGCTGGTACCACTGTGTAAAGAACCTAGTATCACTGTGTACAGTAGCTGGTATCACTGTGTACAACACCTGGTATCACTGTGTACAATTGCCGGTATCACTGTGTACAGTAGTTGGTATCACTGTGTACAGTAGCTGGTATCACTGTGTACGGTAGCTGGTATCACTGCGTACAATAGCTGGAATCATTGTGTACAGTAGCTTGTATCACTGTGTACAGTAGCTTGTATCACTGTGTTCAGTAGCTTGTATCACTGTGTTCAGTAGCTGGAATCATTGTGTACAATAGCTGGAATCATTGCGTACAGTAGCTGATATCACTGTGTACAGTAGCTGGTATCAATGTGTACAATACCTGGTATTACTGTGTACAGTAGCTGGTATCAATGTGTACAATACCTGGTATCACTGTGTACAGTAGCTGGTATCACTGTGTACAATGTCTGGTATCACTGTGTACAATAACTGGTATCACTGCTTACAGTACCTGGTATCACTGTGTACAATAGCTGGTATCACTGTGTACAATAGTTGGTCTCACTGTTTACAGTACCTTGTATCACTGTGTACAGTACCTTGTATCACTGTGTACAGTACCTTGTATCACTGTGTACAGTAGCTGGTATCACTGTGTACAATAGTGGGTACCACTTTGTACAGAACCTTGTATCACTGTGTACAGTATCTAGTATCACTGTGTACAATAGCTGGTATCACTGTGTACAGCAGCTGGTATCACTGTGGACAGTACCTGGTATCACTGTGTACAGTAGCTAGTATCACTGTGTACAGTAGTTGGTCTAACTGTGTACAGTAGCTAGTTTCACTGTGTACAATAGCCGGTACCAAAGTGTACAGTAGCTGGTATCACTGTGTACAATGTCTGGTATCACTGTGTACAATAACTGGTATCACAGCGTACAGTACCTGGTATCACTGTGTACAATAGCTGGTATCACTGTGTACAATAGTTGGTCTCACTGTGTACAGTACCTTGTAGCAAGGTGTACAATAGCTGGTATCACTTTGTACAGAACCTGGTATCACTGTGTACAATAACTGGTCTCACTGTGTACAATAGCTGGTATCACTGTGTACAATACCTGGTATCACTGTGTACAATTGACGGTTTCACTGTATACAGTACCTGGTATCACTGTGTAGAGTAGCTGGTATCACTGTGTACAGTAGCTGGTATCACTGTGTACTTTACATGGTATCACTGTGTACAATATCTGGTATCACTGTGTAGAGTAGCAGGTATCACTGTGTACAATTGCTGGTATCAAGGTGTACAGTAGCTGGTGTCACTGTGTACAGTAGCTGGTATCACTGTGTACAATAGCTGGTATCACTGTGTACAATAGTTGGTCTCACTGTTTACAGTACCTTGTATCACTGTGTACAGTACCTTGTATCACTGTGTACAGTACCTTGTATCACTGTGTACAGTAGCTGGTATCACTGTGTACAATAGCTGGTATCACTGTGTACAGTAGCTGGTATCACTGTTTACAATAGCTGGTATCAAGGTGTACACTAGCTGGTATCACTGTGTACAATAGTGGGTACCACTTTGTACAGAACCTTGTATCACTGTGTACAGTATCTAGTATCACTGTGTACAATAGCTGGTATCACTGTGTACAGTAGCTGGTATCACTGTTTACAATAGCTGGTATCAAGGTGTACACTAGCTGGTATCACTGTGTACAATAGCTGGTATCAATGTGTACAGTAGCTGGTATCACTGTGTACAGTACCTGGTATCACTGTGTAGAGTAGCTGGTTTCACTGTGTACAATAGCCGGTACCAAGGTGTACAGTAGCTGGTATCACTGTGTACAATGTCTGGTATCACTGTGTACAATAACTGGTATCACTGCGTACAGTACCTGGTATCACTGTGTACAATAGCTGATATCACTGTGTACAATAGTTGGTCTCACTGTGTACAGTACCTTGTAGCAAGGTATACAATAGCTGGTATCACTTTGTACAGAACCTGGTATCACTGTGTACAATAACTGGTCTCACTGTGTACAATAGCTGGTATCACTGTGTACTATACCTGGTATCACTGTGTACAATTGACGGTATCACTGTGTACAGTACCTGGTATCACTGTGTAGAGTAGCTGGTATCACTGTGTACAGTAGCTGGTATCACTGTGTACTTTACATGGTATCACTGTGTACAATATCTGGTATCACTGTGTAGAGTAGCAGGTATCACTGTTTACAATTGCTGGTATCAAGGTGTACAGTTGCTGGTACCACTGTGTAAAGAACCTAGTATCACTGTGTACAGTAGCTGGTATCACTGTGTACAATACCTGGTATCACTGTGTACAATTGCCGGTATCACTGTGTACAGTAGTTGGTATCACTGTGTACAGTAGCTGGTATCACTGTGTACGGTAGCTGGTATCACTGTGTACAGTAGCTGGAATTATTGTGTACAATAGCTGGTATCACTGTGTACAGTAGCTGGTATCACTGTGTACAATAGCTGCAATCATTGTGTACAATAGCTGGAATCATTGTGTACAGAAGCTGGTATCACTGTGTTCAGTAGCTTGTATCACTGTGTTCAGTAGCTTGTATCACTGTGTTCAGTAGCTTGTATCACTGTGTTCAGTAGCTTGTATCACTGTGTACAGTAGCTGGAATCATTGTGTACAATAGCTGGAATCATTGTGTACAGTAGCTGGTATCACTGTGTACAGTAGCTGGTATCACTGTGTAAAGTAGCTGGAATCATTGTGTACAATAGCTGGAATGATTGTGTACAATAGCTGATATCACTGTGTACAGTAGCTGGTATCACCCTGTACAGTACATGGTATCACTGTGTACAATTGCTGGTATCATTGTGTACAGTAGCTGGTATCACTGTGTACAGTAGCTGGTATCACTGTGTACAGTAGCTGGTATCACTGTGTACAATAGCTGGTATCACTGTGTACAATAGTTGGTCTCACTGTTTACAGTACCTTGTATCACTGTGTACAGTAGCTGGTATCACTGTGTACAATACCTGGTATCACTGTGTACAATAGTGGGTACCACTTTGTACAGAACCTTGTATCACTGTGTACAGTACCTAGTATCACTGTGTACAATAGCTGGTATCACTGTGTACAGCAGCTGGTATCACTGTGGACAGTACCTGGTATCACTGTGTACAGTAGCTAGTATCACTGTGTACAGTAGTTGGTCTAACTGTGTACAGTAGCTGGTATCACTGTTTACAATAGCTGGTATCAAGGTGTACACTAGCTGGTATCACTGTGTACAATAGCTGGTATCAATGTGTACAGTAGCTGGTATCACTGTGTACAGTACCTGGTATCACTGTGTAGAGTAGCTGGTTTCACTGTGTACAATAGCCGGTACCAAGGTGTACAGTAGCTGGTATCACTGTGTACAATGTCTGGTATCACTGTGTACAATAACTGGTATCACTGCGTACATTACCTGGTATCACTGTGTACAATAGCTGGAATCACTGTGTACAATAGTTGGTCTCACTGTGTACAGTACCTTGTAGGAAGGTGTACAATAGCTGGTATCAATTTGTACAGAACCTGGTATCACTGTGTACAATAACTGGTCTCACTGTGTACAATAGCTGGTATCACTGTGTACAATACCTGGTATCACTGTGTACAATTGACGGTATCACTGTATACAGTACCTGGTATCACTGTGTAGAGTAGCTGGTATCACTGTGTACAGTAGCTGGTATCACTGTGTACTTTACATGGTATCACTGTGTACAATATCTGGTATCACTGTGTAGAGTAGCAGGTATCACTGTGTACAATTGCTGGTATCAAGGTGTACAGTAGCTGGTATCACTGTGTACAGTAGCTGGTATCACTGTGTACAATAGCTGGTATCACTGTGTACAATAGTTGGTCTCACTGTTTACAGTACCTTGTATCACTGTGTACAGTACCTTGTATCACTGTGTACAGTACCTTGTATCACTGTGTACAGTAGCTGGTATCACTGTGTACAATAGCTGGTATCACTGTGTACAATAGTGGGTACCACTTTGTACAGAACCTTGTATCACTGTGTACAGTACCTAGTATCACTGTGTACAATAGCTGGTATCACTGTGTACAGTAGCTGGTATCACTGTGGACAGTACCTGGTATCACTGTGTACAGTAGCTAGTATCACTGTGTACAGTAGTTGGTCTAACTGTGTACAGTAGCTGGTATCACTGTTTACAATAGCTGGTATCACGGTGTACACTAGCTGGTATCACTGTGTACAATAGCTGGTATCAATGTGTACAGTAGCTGGTATCACTGTGTACAGTACCTGGTATCACTGTGTACAGTAGCTGGTATCACTGTGTACAATGTCTGGTATCACTGTGTACAATAACTGGTATCACTGCGTACAGTACCTGGTATCACTGTGTACAATAGCTGATATCACTGTGTA